GTGAAATTTAAAGAGCTGCCGCCCACAACCCATGCCACAGATTGACTGAAGGCCGTCATCCAACAACCAACTGCCCCTCGTGGCATGTGTTCTTTTTGTGATTTTGGAAATTATCTTCGGGCAGGTGGGGGCAGGTCGACAAACTGCAGGACAATACCCAGCCATGTCCTGTCAGTCCTGCGTGGCAAAATAATTATATTTACTGGCTGCTTTTAATCACTTATACCCCCCCAATATACCACCCCCAATCCCATAGAGATACATTTTATATTACGTATACGTAGGAGTATTTGTTTCCTTTGCCATTTGCTGTGTGACTTCGCAATAGCTTCACATTTAGGGCTTAAGGGATTAGCTGAGCATTGGGCAAACGCCAATTGTAAAATTGTTTTGGCTGCCCGACGACTGTCAAGGAATTGCAAGAAAATCGAGTCCATTGAACGCACGGAGCGGATGATCATTAAAAAATCTAAAAACAAATTAAATGGCCATTGCCAGAGAACAATTAGAGCAAAAGGCATCGAAAAGGAAACGCATTCTCATGCATATTCAACTGCATGCAACATTAAAGTGGCGTTTATTTATTTATTGAAATCTTTTGTTATTTTTCTATGTATTTTCATTGCTTGCTCAGTTGTTGTCTTAGTTTCCTGAGTTGGCTTGGACTCGGACCAAGTAAATATAAAATGATGAAGTGCATTTTGTTGAAGCATTGAACAAATATTGATGAAAAGTTGTGGAACTGTTGTAGAAATTTCTAGGACATTTGTCTGGATTTATCGTGGAAATTTGAGAAATTTATTTGATATATTTGTGGAAATGCTGTGAAAATATTTTTAAGGGATTTTAGAAGAAGTTGAGAAACATTGTAGAAATATTGTGAAAATATTGGGCGAATATTTGTTGAAATATTGAACAAATATTGGTGAAATGTTGTAGACATTTCGTGCAAATATTGTCCAAATATTGAAGAGTTTTTTGTGTTTGTTGTGGAAATATTGTAGAAGAATTTTAGAAATGTTGTTGAAGTATTGTGGAAATATTGGTGAAATGTTGTTGAAATGTTGTAGACATTTCGTGCGAATATTGTCGAAATATTGTAGAGTTTTTTGTATTTGTTGTGGAAATATTGTAGAAGAATTTTTGAAATGTTGTGGAAATATTGAGAAAATATTTTTGAAATGTTGTTGAAATGTTGCAGACATTTCGTGCAAATATTGTCGAGTTTTTTGTATTTGTTGTGGAAATATTGTAGAAGAATTTTAGAAATGTTGTTGAAATATTGTGGAAATATTGGTGAAATGTTGTTGAAATGTTGCAGACATTTCATGGAAGTTATGTGGAATTTTTTTCGATTTATTGTGGTAATATTGTGGAACAATTTTAGAAATATTTTTGATGTATTGTAGAAAGATTGAAAAAAGTGTTGCAGAAATGTTGTGGACACATTGTTGAAATATTTTGCATATATTGTGGAAATATTGTAGAAGCATTTTAGAAATATTGTGCAAATATTGGCCAAATATTGCAGAATAATATTATGGAACTTAGTGCCCGTTTTTAGAGCAGCCAAAGGCGATCAAGGACCGTTCGTAGCCACACAATTGTTTACCCTTTTTCCCTCTTGTTTTCTCCATTTTCTCCATTTTCATCTGTTTAGTTGCTCTCTGAAATGTTGTTTCTTGTAGCTCTCTGTCTTGGCAAGGAAACTTATCCTCTTAATTGGCTCTAATAAGGGCTTAAAGGATTGCACACAAGTCAAAACAGACTGGGCAAATAACGAAGAACGGGTTCGGTTTCCACTGCCGCTGCCTCAGTCCCTGGTCCCAGTGCCAGCGCCTGTCCCACAATCCAATGCCAATCCACTCACTATCCAATGCCAATATTAGAAGCCATCGTGTGTTTCCCTTGTTTGGGCTCAGGGCTCAGGGCTCTGGGCTCTACTCTTTTGTCTGTCTGAGGCTGAGGCCTGGACTATGGCTCGGACTCCTCCCCTGTGTTAATTCAATAAAATGCTTAATAAAATTGATTGATTAGCTGCGGCAGAGAGAGCGAGAGAGAGAGAGAGAGAGAGAGAGAGAGAGACAATGCCACATGTTTATTCGAATCCAATGATGCCCGGGTTCCTCACTCAAGTGGGATGCTAAGCCCAGACTCACAAGGTACCCCCGAACGTTGCTTACATCTCTGTATCTTCGTGCCACATTTGAGATTCCTTTTGGCATTGTCCCGATTCTTCCCCACTCACACTCAGACTTCCACCAGACAGAACACATGTCCCAGTGCTAGTCCTGGTGCTGCTCCTGCTCCTAGTCGGAACTCCAGCTCCAGCTCCAGCTCTGTCTGTGTCTGTGTCTGTGTCTGGTTCTCTTATTGGTTACACAATTGTCTGTGCATTATTTGAGTTTGTGCCGGCATTTGTTATTTTGCTTTTATCCTTTTTAGCTGCCAGTGGATGGGAGGGAGTAAGTAATGCGATTGCATGGGGGGGGGGGGGGGGGGGGGGGGGGGGGGGGGGGGGGGGGGGGGGGGGGGGGGGCACATGGACTCGTACTCTGTGTGAACTGTGAGCGATTCGCGAATTCTTTTCCAACTGACAAGTGCCATGTGCCACCTACATTTCTATATGGATTGTACATGCATTTACTTCAATGATTTCTGCATTGCTCTGTCGCTATTTCAAGCGCTCTCTCTCTCTCTCTCTCTCTCTCTGTCTTTAAGGAATATTAAGGATATTTTGCCAAAATACCTACCTACACGACTCTAATGCTTAGGCTCCGCACGCGTCAAGCAAATGCATATTTGAATTGCATTAGGCACTCGTCTGTCGCTTCTCTCCACTCTCCACTCGTCTGTCGCCTCTCGCTTCTCGCTTCTCGCTGCTCGCCACTCGTTTCTCGCCCCTCTGTGTCTCGTTCTAGCTGCTTCTGGGTGCTGCTTTGTTGGTTTCCAATTATAATGTCACGCATTTATGCCTGCGCTTATTTACGAGTATTATTGTGCTGATGCGACACCCACTGCCGCCTGAAGGCAATATACAGGCCAAAGGCTCTGGCCACTCCTTTCTGCCCTCCTCGGTGTCCAATTAAGAGCCGAAGCTGCGTTGCTGCTGCTGCTGCTGGCAGGGATTTAGGCACGGATCGGTGGCAGGGGCTTCTGCCAGAGTGTGGCAACATCAGGTGCTATGCCGTTCGGACTGCTTGCATATTTGATTTGTGCATTTAAACATTTCAAACAGGCTGTGTCAACTCTGTTCACTCTGCTCCAAGCTCCAACTGCAACCCTAACCCCTGCCCCATCATCTACATCTGGCAATGGCAATGGCAATGGCAATGGCAGTGGCAAGTGCAAGCGACATTGCCTCATTGGAAATTCTCTTTAGAGTAATTTTAGTTATTATATTGCTTTGGCTTTGTTCATCCTTGTTGCTGTTGCTGTGGCAGACTGTGGCAGCAGTCTGTTGCCTGAAGACTGCTGTTGTTGCAGCTGCAACTTAACTCCTACCTGAGCATTATTTATTATAAATGATTAACAAGCAGCTATTTGGAGAGCAGAGACAGCAGGCCTCACCAGAGCCGTAAACAGAGACAGAAAGCCCAAAGCCCGGAGGCAGTGGCCGAGGCCGAGGCAAAGCCAAAGCCAGATCCGGATCCGGATCCGGAGACACAGACGGAGGCGGGCAGCAGCTGAGTCAAGTCGAGGCTCAATTTCGTCTCTCTTTCAGCAGCATCTCAATGCGGGCCCCCAGGCCGAGCTCTCTCTCTCTCTCTCTCTCTCTCTCTCTCTCTTTCTGTCTGCTATGTCACTCCGGTTACCGGTCTTAATCTGGGATATAAATGTTGGATATGTCGAAGGCTTTAAATGGAAAATGCGCCGCAAAAAGAAAAGGCTCATGCACACACGCTGAACTGAAATCAAATGCCAACTGCAGCCAGAGTACAGTAAGAACTCAAAAGTTGCAAGAACATGGAAAGAACACACACACACACACACACACACACACACACACACACGCACAAGTGCCTGACTGACTGGCTGGCTATCAAAAAAGTTATCCACTCGACACTGTTTGTCTTTGGTTGCCATAAAAGACGATGATAACTGTTCATGGCATGCGGTATTTGTATTCAACTTGAAAAACAGACAGAAATGCAGAGAGAGAGAGAGAGAGAGCAGCAAAGCTGGGCAAGAGAGTAAATCGGATAATAATAAAGGATCAAAAGAGGGTGGATGATGATTCAAGTTTAAGTTGGAAATGCAAGCGAGTGCCCACTGTACATATTTACATACACATTTACATATGTACATCCCTGTTTAGTTCGATTAAGTCATAACTTTGAAGTGTCGCAGCAACGAACAATTGCGCTCGCTCACAGCTGCCCCTCTTTACTCACTCACTCCCGCTCTGCAGCTCACCCACTCACTCACTCCCGCACTCTTTCTTCTCCTCCACAGCTAACGGCATGCCTGGCAGCAGCAGCAGCAGCAGCAGCAGCAGCAAAAGCGCGGAAGAAGCAGCGTAAATAAATATGATTAAGCTTAAGAATATATAATAATAATAGTAAAAAGAAATACAAAAAATAAAATAAGCAGCAGCAGAGGGAAAGTTCAAATGAAATAACGCAATATAAAAACATAAATAACGAAGAAGAGTACAAACAAAATAAAAGACAGAAGCAGCGCAGCGCAACGCAGCGCAGCAGAAGCAGAACCAGAACCAACAACAGCAAGCAGCAGTCGAAGAGGGGAAGAAATCACGCAACAAGCAAAAGAGGGGAAGGTGCAGCGCAGCTCAGGCAAGCGAAAGGCGCAGGCAACGGCGAAGGCGAAGGCGAAAAAGGTGAATCATACATTTGGCCTGCTGCAAAACGTGAAGCAACGGTACAAGCAGCAGGAGAAGCAGCAGCAGCAGCAGCAGCAGCAGCCAAAGCAAGACGCAGAAGAGACGCAGCAGCAGCCAAAGCAACAAGAAGAAGGGAGACAGCGACAGCGACAGCAGCAGCAGCAGAAGCAGCATCACCCCATCCAGTCGTAGTCGGAGCCGGAGAACGGGAAAACGAGAAGAGCAGCAGCCGGACAAGAGAGAATCGAGCTCAATTACGCCGCCAAACTGTCGTGTCAGCAAGAACGTGAAATGTGCAATTCCTGGCTGCTGCTCATAATTGCGCTCTCCGTTGTCGTCTGCCTGTGGAACTCGCAATACACCGAAACATCCAAATCATGCCCAGCCGAGTGCATCTGCTTGTCCCAGACTCAAGTAAGCTTAACAATCTACTTGTACTGCAGTGGTGCGTGTTGCCCGCTAAGCCCAAAACTGCCACACTGGTTCGCATGGGTACGAAAAAGTGTTCCATGGAGGGCCTGGCTTATGGCAGAAACAGCACTACTGAAAGTACATAAATAGTTTCTAGCAATAGTTTTAAGCAATTTTGATATATTTGTGCCACAACTGACTGTCGTGTGTGGTGGCAAATATTAATTTATATATTTATAGGAGAGATTTCCCCTTTTGTTCTACAAAAAGATGAGATACCAAAGATTTGATTCGCACAGAACTCGCACCAGTGTTGGCAAACGCACTGCGCACCACTGTAAAGTCGCAGGAGCGGGTTTAGTTTCGTTGTGCAGTTGTATGCAGAACCATCATCATCATCAGCGGCATTCGACTCAAAGGCACAGAAGATCTCTAGGGAGTCGGTGGTCAGGCAATGGCCACAGTTGCTCCGGCTACAGCTACGGCTCCCATACCCGACCCACTCCAGTGATGAGCACAAAAATTAAATCGAAAATGCAGGGAAATGGTTATTTTTCTTTTGTTTCCTGGAGTGCCATTTCCCTTGCTCTACTCCTGCTACTCATCCTGGGCAGCTGTGTGGATTTGAAATGCCTTGCCATGCCTTGCCACCGTCACACGCCACACGCCACACTCCTCCACTTGTTACATTCGCATTCCCCAGCATCAACCATTCCATGTTCATGCCCATGCCCATGCCCCTACCCATTACCATTGCTTCATTCCTCCATTCCCCGCCCATTCTCACAGCCTTTGTGTCTGCGCCTCTGCCATGGCAGTATTCAATTGTGTCCCACGAGGGGCTTGGAGCACGCTTAATGCGCATCCTTATTACCAGTGGGAACGTTGCCATCGTCATTTTTACCAAATTGAGAACTTAAGTGATTTCATTATTCCAGATTATGGACAATGCAATGATTTACTCAGCTCTCTTCCCCTTCCCCTCACCCTTCCTCTCTCTCTCTCTCTCTTTTTGTCTCTTCACTCGGAGCCCTCCCAGGCGCTTGGCAGCCCGTCGAAATGAGTTCAGGCCAAAGGTCTCCGTATCCTTTCGTTACAGTTAACTGTATTTAAGATGCGAAATTAGTTCAGTTCCTACCCCCCACATCTATCTCTCTCTCAGCGAAATGCCAAAGAAAAAGGAAGGAAAAAAAAGAAAAGGTAACAAAAGTGTAGCATACTTTTTTGGGTCACTTGCAGTCCCAGCCACCAGCCAGCAGCCGGTTAAAGTTCAGCGAACAATAGACTTTATAACCGTGTCGCCGCTTGGCCTCGCAACTGCAAAATGCATGGAAATGAAATTTCATTAAATCGAACAACGCAACCGAAACAGGACCGAAAACCAGTGCCAGCATAGAGTTTCCCCCTGCGAAAAGCTGCAGAGAAGAGAAGAAAAGAGAAGCCTTAACCGAACAGCAGAGCAGCAGAAAATCAGAGCAGATGAAAACCCCATAGAGCAGGACAGCATAGAGTTTCTGGTAAATGACAGAGAACTAAAACCGGAACAGGCCATGGACAAGAACCTTAAGAAACCCTCGAAAAGGAACAGAACTCAAACGCAGCCAAAGCCAGCACCAAAGCCAGAATCAGAACCAGAACGTAATGGAATAGTAGCAGCAATACAGCAACAAAAAATAAAATAAAATAAAATATAAAAAACAGCACGGGGACAGGGACAGGGCAGGAGCAGGAGCAGAAGTGTAAGCGGCAGAGAGAGTCACAGAAGTCAGTCGCAGAAGTGAAAAGCGAACGGGAAAGAAAGGAAACTTTTAATTCGTTCATTTAAAAAGGTGAAGCGTATGAAAATTGTGTAAACGTCGCGCAAGAAGTGCAGCGCGGCAGGATGGGGCAGGATTCGGGTAGGGGCTGATGTAAGAACAGGTAAGGCAAGGCAAGCCAAGGCAAGGCACTCCGTGTGGCCATCAGGGGACTGAGCAACGTGACAAGCGATAGACAGTTATGCACTGTTTCCCCCCCCCAAAGATAGAGCCTCAGACACAGACAGAGAGTGAGAGATGGGCAGAGACCCTTTGCTGTTGCGACACAAACACACACAAAGAGGACAGACAGACAGCTTGGGCCTGGGCCTTTGCCTGGGGAAACGCACACATCAGCACATAATAGTTATAAAAAATGAAGGCCCCACCAAAGCAGAATGGCCAAGAGGAAAACAATGCTAGACAGTAGTCGGTTGCTGCCGCTCCTCCAGCGACGTAGAAAAAAGAATTCGATTTAATTTTATTTTCAGCAATAAAGCCACAAATTCAATTTTGGCGCCACCCATCAAACCAGCATCAGCCCCTCTGTCATCCCTGTTCTGATTGCCCTACGGCTGTCCGTTGTCCGCTGTCCGCTGTCCGCTGGCCAAGGGCGGGCGGTGTACATGTCATAAAGCAAGCCAAAAACTGATTAAGAACGAAAACCTTTGATGAGTCCAACACAGACATAGTGCAGAAAGATGGGCCGGGGCCAGGGGCAGGGGCAGGACCACAATTTGGAATGAGAAAAATAAACAACAAAGAAAAAGAGCGAGCGAGCAGCTTGAGCTCAGAGCTGGAATAGGGACAAGGACAAGGTTCATGGAACTAATGGAATTTCAGGCAAATGCAACACAAAAATGTTGTCTAAGAAATTAACAAATTAAACTCAAGACAGTTTTGATTTTAGTTTAGTTTTAGTTTAGTTGCATTGAGAGAATGTTCCTTAAAAGCCAAAAAAGAGTAAACAAAACGTGGAGACACATAAAGAAGAGATTGGCCAACCAAACTGCATTGAAAAATGCCAAAAAAGCAACCAGAAGCAGGCACTAAATGTTGACAATTTTGCGACTTAAACGGAGATCACAATGCCCTGTAGGGCACGTGCATCAAAGGAAGTTTTTAAATCATTTCAATCATTGATGTTGAAACCCCTGCAAATATCCAAAGAAAGTCTTCTTCCGCCCCAAAAAAATCCATAAAAAATGATGAAAAACAAATTGAATTTACTTTAAGTATTCGCTCAAAATACCAGCTCAAAGGCAGTCCAAAAAGTGCTCCAAGTGAAGCAAATAAAATCTGCACAAAATCTAAAAAAAATCACAAAACTCTCCAACTAAATTGACTTTCTTTTGCCACTCTCTTTCTGCAGGTGCTGTGTAACACGGGCGGCCTCGAACAGATACCGCTGCGCCAGCTGCCGGCGACAGTGGAGAACCTGGCGCTGACCAAGAACAATTTTCCAATCATTAAGCCAGACTCGTTCGCCGGCCTGCGAGCGCTCAAGAAGCTCTCCCTGGATGGCAACAATATTACGCGAATCAAGCAGTTCGCTTTCCGCGGACTGCCGCGACTCAAGGAGCTCTCCATACAGTACACACCGCTGCAGACTGTGGCCCAGTTTGCCTTTGCCGGACTGCAGAATTTGTCCACGATTCTGCTCAGCCACAATCAAATACAGCGGATCGAGGGCAATGCCTTTGCGGGCACATCGAACATCAAGCTGATCCTGCTGACGAACAACCCACTGATACGCATCGACAGCTCGGCCTTCTCCAGCCTCACGAATGTGGGCCACTTGATACTGCCATCGGGCATCAGGAGCATCGAGCAGGATGCCTTCTTCGGCATGGATGCCGTCGGGCTGCTCAAGCTGGCCTACATGGACCTCAAGGAGATTGCTCCGTTCACCTTTCGGGGGCTGTCCAATGTGCTGCTGCTGACGCTGCAGGAATCCGACTTGGGGGTCATCTGTGCGGACGCCTTCACGGGCCTCACCCAGGTGGAGACGCTGCAGATTCTGAACAATAAAATCGACTCCATTGAGGAGCTCAACTTCACGAGCACGGCGGCCATTAAGCACTTGAAATTCTATGGCAATCATGTGCTGGAGACACCCGATCCCAACGCCATCATCGTCGACGGTGTCGATCACCTGCAGCTGATGAATAATCACTTCCCCTGCGGCTGCCACATTCACACCCTGCTGGACGGCCCCCTGGCGGAGGGTGCCCACAATCTGAGCGATTTCCTGCAGAAGAACTTTTGCATCTCGCCGCTGGAGGTGAACGGCCGCGTGATGAGCGAGCTGGACATCGACTCGATTGGCCGCTGCTCCGATCAGCTGACAAAGGGCAACTTGGGCAGCTCCGCTGCCTCGCTGGCGCTCAGCATTAACTCCATGTTCCTCATAGCCGCCGCCAGTTGCGTGGAGTGGCGTCATGTCCGTCAGCTGGCGACACGACTGCTGCAGCTGCTCGGCCATGTGGCCTGGCGACGACGCAGGAAACGACGAAAGTGCCAGCAGTAGGCAGCAGCCACAGCTTGCTGCAGGACCGTCTGGTAGGTAGCAGCCACCAGGTGTAGTCTGTAGGAAAATAACCGGAGGGCAGCAGCAGCAGCAGAAAGATTTCTCCACATCATTCTAATGTCTCTCGCTGGAGCTCTAATGTTGGCCAATGCAGTGCCAAAATTCCATTCGCATTTCGTTTCCCTTGCGGCCATTGCACTGCTTGCAATTGCACTGCTTGAATCGCTTGAATCGGCTACAGTGCACTGCCAAACATCACTTTTTGGGCTACAATTTCATTGTGAAGAGCTTCAAGTGTGTGTGTGTGCGTGTGTGCGTGTGTGTGTGTGGCAGTGCCATCGGGTTGCTTAGCATACAAAACGAGAAACGGAAATTACAAATTCTATTCACTCGCCCCGACTGTGGCACTCTAATTCGTTGCCTGGACCCGGCATTCCACCCTGCGGCAAAACCCATTTAGCCTTGCAGCAGACGTAGCCACTTTGATGGAGACGTTCGGCGGGTTGAGGGGGGGTGCTTCACGGGGCTATACTTTAGCCGCTTATCGCAAAAGGATTTAGATTTATCTTAGTTGATTATGATGCTCGGACCCGACTCGACTCTCAGCTCTTTTCGGCTGGACTTTTGTGAGCTCAAAAACAAATGCCCAGAGAAAATCATTGAAGGAAATTAAAACTTTGTTTACTTTCGAAAACGGGGAAAAGCGGAAAAGCGCACAAACACACACACACACAAATTTCATTCAGCTTTTGGGACATTTGCATTGGATTTGCTTTTGCTTGTGCTTCTGCCTTTTTTCTTGGCATTTTCTTAGGGTTTTTCGTTTCCTTTTTGGCCACATTAGTTGGCCTATTCACTTAATCAGTTCTAGGGCTAATTGAAGGACAGCCTGCAGCAGCGGATGAGCGCCACTTAAAGACTTAAAGCCACAGCAGAAAAGGACTCCAGCGGTGGAGGACGCTGTTCGGACGTGCAATTGTCGCCAACAGTTCTGCACAGTTCAGTTCGTGTCCAGTGGCCAGCTCTGCGAATGTGGCCAGCTTAACACGTTCCCAGGACATCCACTTGGCAGCAACCACTTGAATGGTGCACCACCACACACCCACACACCCACACACCCACACACAGACTCTACTAAGTTTGACCATCGTTGTAGGCGCACTTTGCTCTTTGCCGCTGGCTTCGGCCGCCCTCACTCGTCCGCAGATCGTTAACTTAATTGTTCCGCTTGAAATGCGAAAGCTGCCATCGCCATTGTTGCGACTGATAGTCATGAATGGGCGGGGCAATGGGACACGCCCCCTAGACACAGGAACAAAAAAAAGGACACACAGCAACAGCCAGAAACTGAAACTGAAAACAGGAATGCAATAAAATTGGCGTGACTAACTCGACAGCACAGCGCAGCACTGGAACCGTGGCAGCAGATGAGCTGAGTTGAGGCTCGAGTTCAGGCAGGAGCCAGGAGCAGGCGGGCAAGTCGTGCGTGCCTCGGCCAACGTTGATGCTGTCATGCAATCAGCAAATAGGCGACCGCAGCAAAAGTCGCGTAATTAACGCGAGGCCAACAGTGGCCCGTGGCTGAGTTTGGCATTGGGCATTGGAGCACCAGCACCAGCACTCACTCATTCTGTTGCCAGTTCCGTTCCAACATCCTCAAATTGGAGTGCGCCACCCTTTGCCCTTTCGAGCTGTGATTAATGTTGAGTCCAGGGTCCAGGCCGGGCGATAAATAAAATCAGCGACAACGCGACATAAAAACTTAGCAAACGGAAAAGTGAAATGCAATTGGGAGACAGTTGCAAATTGAAAGGACTAGAAAAAGAATCATATCTAGCCAGAGATGTGGAACTTTGAATGGGCTGAGTTCCCTCTCAAATTATTTCTAATATTTATGTGTAGCTTCTCACCTTTTCAAGTCCATCTTGGGCGTAACTTCTGACTGCCTCCAATGCTCAGACTCAGGCTGCACTCTGCACAGCCACTTACCAGCCAGCCTGGTAAAATAAATTATAGCCAAAACCACAATGACACACTACAGGGGATGCGCCTTTGGCCAAGCCTCTGGCTGCTGCTGCCTGAAATATGACAACGGCCAGTGGGGCACGTCCATTTGCGTTTCGCTGCACATTTTGTATGCTTTCTCTTGCTCTATCGCTAAATTTATTGAGCTAATACAAAATTTAATCAGCCGCCCCCAGAAACCCTTTCCCCCACTCTCTCCCTCGGCCACTTTTTGTGCCCTTTTGTGCCTGCTTTCTCTGTGTATTATCAGACTCGACTCGCACATAAATAACTGAAAGTAAGGTCCAAGGACTGAAGTCTGGGTCCAAGGTCGGGGCTGGCTGCTTGTGTGTGGAGCAGCTGGCGGCAGAAAAGGATTTGCCATTGGTCCTTACAGTTCATTTAAAGTCAAGGAGTCGCACATAAATTTCCATGCACATAATTAAACTACCAAATGACAAAGCAAAATCGTTAAATCGAGGTCAAAATGAGGCGACAATGAACGGGTGGGGGAGTGAGGAGTGGGCCACAGCACTGGGAGGATTTGGGGAGTCGTCAGCAAATTTGGTGCTGGCGGTGGTGGCCAACAAATGCCAATAAAATATGCAACCAGATGACCCCGGCCCACAAATAATCCAACCCGAGGCCCAGCTGCTAATTTTGTTCTAGGCCAACCCCCCACCCGCGTGTGTTTATCTAATAGCAAAAATTATGAAAATCTATGTGGGTGTCCTGTCAATTAACGTCGAAAGGCAATGGACTCGAAGGACGGGCACGCAGACATTGCCATATGTGGCACTGGCAGGACAAAGGACAGACGCAATGACAGATGGACACACGAGGCGTATGAGCAATGCGGGCAAACAGCAAGAGCAGGAGCAGGAGCAGGAGCAGCAGAGGATAATAGCCAAAGGATCAAGCACTGGCAGCAATGACAGGAAGGGGGCAACACAAAGCTGCATTAAAAACTTCAACTGCAAACGTTTAGCCAGCATACGGCCTGGCCTGTTGCCTGCTCCGGAAAGGATTAACTCAAAGCAAACTCAATTTGGCATTTAAAAAGTGTTTCCTGCATGCCTTTAAGCAGCTCTCGCAATGAGTTAAACATGCCCTAAGACGCAGACGCTGCTGTCGCAGGACTAATTTCGGTTTTAAGTTGCTCAATTTTTAGTCTGCAGCTGCAGCCAATCGATAGGAAGAGAATTTGTCGGGTTTCTTTTGGCAAATTAAATTCAGCTAATTGCTGGCTGGCAGTGGATAGAACTGCTGCTAATCACTCCAAGATCCAGCCAGGGGCAGGCACAGGGTTAAGTGCGGGAGTGAGGCAGAACTTTATCGACGCGATTTTGGCCGCTGACTGGCACTGAGATTGCGACTGACATCGAAGGCTGAAGGCCAAGGATGGGGCGGGGCTAAAAATGCTTAAGTAAGCTTAGGCACACACACACATACACACACGGCCATAAAACATTTCTACACATGTGCGCCCTTTTGTATGCTACACTGAACCTCACCGAGAAGAGTAACGGCCGCAGCTGGGTAGAAGAAGGAGCGGCAGCAGCAAATGGAGACTGAGAGACTGAAGCAAGCCTGAGGGGGCCAAGGCAGAACCTCGCCAGCGGGCAGAATCACTTGCAAAGAGGAGCACAGGAGAGCAGGCGCCGGCTCAACAATTTAAAAAGTTAAAAAACTTTCCTTTTGGCTGTCTTTAAAGCCTTTAAGTATTTTAATTATGTAGGATTTGAGTTTGCTGTTTCAGTTTCCCTGTTGAGCCCATGGCCTAAAGCCTACCAAAATTTGTGTAGATGTCAGCGAAGAATGGAAGCTGGGAGGCAGCAGGCTGACTGCCAACTAATTGAAAAATCGCCTATGCCCGGAGCACGACTTTGTCTCAGTTGGCCAAAAGTTTTCAATGTGTGGAGGTGTGGAGGCAACGGCAAGTGCGTGCGTGTTGCATGCAGAGGGAGAGAGTGAGTGTGAGTGTGAGTGGGAGTGAGGCAGAGGGGAGACTTTTCACCAAAAACTGATGTGACACATGCAAATCATATGAGGCCTCCAGCAGCAGGAGGAGCAGGAGGAGCAGGCGTAGCAAGAGCTCTGGCTAAGTGCTTTCTGGCTGTCAGTTGTGTGTCGTTTGCGAGTCAGTCAAATCCAGTGCTCTAATCCAGTCCGATCAGCTAGCAACTTGTCGACACGCACATGACACCGAGAGATAGCAGATCATCATCATCATCGTCAGGACAGGACAGGACAGGGCACGGGCAGGGCCATTTTCCTTTCCCATTTTGCCAGCCATTCACCCTTGGAACAACAACATCTTCATGCTCTTCAGTTGGCAATATAAATCAAATCAAAAGCACAAACAAGCCGCGAGTGTGTACACAATTCAAGTAAACTCCATGGAGAGATTGTCATGGCCGAACATTTTAGAGTACAGACAACAGACAGCAGACAGCAGACAGAGCAGGGACAGACAGGAGTCGCTCTCTCTCTCTGGTCGAAGACATGCGGATGGGATGGACGGACTGGGACATAAATCAAGGCGCCGCCGTCAACTTTGCACTGCACTTGCAACAAGACGAGGCAGCAACAGCACGAGGACCAGGACACATGTCAGAGCGGGGTATATTGTATATACATACGATGCGATAAGATACAATACGATGCGATAGATAGGCATGTAAGTGCACTCGAATGTTGCTTGTTGTGATGATGATGACATCGTCCTCATGCTAGCCCTCGTCTGTGTGGGCTCTGTGTCCCCCCGTCTCTCTGCTCGAGCCTCTCAGCTTGTATTTGGAGGTGCTGGCACATCAATCTGCTTGAGCCATGACAACGAAGCGTTTTATTGTCGCACACACACACATAAATAATTCTTCCTTGGATACATTTTTGGCACTCAAATTTCACGTTTAAACTTTAATAATAAACGAATAGTTGCGTTCAACTTGAAAAATGAATATAAATAGCTTCTCAGACCGAATTAAGTTTCCAAA